AATTCCATATCTGTGAAAGATTTTTCGAATAATTCACGCAATAACTGGGATTCATAAATAAACAAATTGAATTTGCCGCCCCCTTCATTGTGCCGCCCGGGTGCAATGCACCCTTTGCACCCTCGGGTTGGCGCGGCCCTGCGTGTACCCTTCCTTAGGGAGGCAAATAAATATAAAGAGAGAACAGTTAACAGATTGGCTCGTTTCACAAACTCAAACTACGATATTGCGGTGTAAATTGCTGTGATACGTAATGTCTGCGAATTGTGGAATCTCAGCGGATTAGTTGCGGCGCGCGTACTGGCGATTGCTCAGAACTTCGAGGAAACGACTGACTGTCGTCCTGGTGCAGGGCGGTTTTATAGCTCAAAAATCCGGAGTTACTTTGAAATTCGCCAATGAGATTGCATGGATTTTGATTCTCAAGATGACCCTTACGAGATGTCTATGATTGGTACTTGGTGGTGTGACTCGTGCGTGCGAGAAAATTGCCGTCTGGTATTGGTTGAGATTTGCGTGACGCTTACGTTCGTGTGTGCGTATGTTGTTGAAATTAGTAACTGTCATTGCTTGTTTATTCAGTTGTTTGTTGTTTTGGCTCCCTTTGATTAAAGAAAAAACCGAGTGCGGGTACAGTTGAGTTAACAATTTGACTGGTTGAATTTTCTTTCGTTATTACAGCTACTTTGCTATTATAATACATTGATTATCGATCTTGAACAAATTCCTTTTAATTTATTTTTTAAAGAAATCTTAAACAATATTTATTCTGCAATTTATATATTAATTTTATTTTAATTTTAAATTTACATACAGTTTCTTAATAAATCCGTAGAAAAATATCCATTGCTAAATACAGCTGAAAAAAAAGTTTTATTAATTTTATTAATTAAAATAAAAGTTTTCATATGAATTTCTTATTATGCACTTTGCTGGAACAGATAACACTTAGTTCTTGTATGTAATACGAGTACATACAAATTGTTACCTAATCTTTTGCCTCTAACCTAACTGATAGCTCGCGCAAAATACAGCGTAAAGACAATATTTATAACTTAACTTTATCCTTTTATGGCTTCTGGGGGTCGACTCTGTATTATACAATATAGTGAAAATGACAAAAGTGAGCAAATTTACTATCTATGATCTTATTGGTCAACACCTAGTAAATTTGCTAACTTTTGTCATTTTTGCTACATTGATACAGAATCAGTTTGGCGATGTTAAGTGAAAAGAATCAAATATCGATTACTCGAAAGAAAAATTAATCGGTTGAAAATCTCGATTAATTGAAAAAAACTATCGGTTATTTCGATTAATTGAGAAATATTGCTCATCCCTAACTGATAGTCTCTTTAAAAAAACAAAAATTGAAAATGACTGGATCCGAAATTTTTTGTTTTGTCAGACTGTTTGGAGTAATTGTGGGTAATCTTGTTGAAGATGAAAACCAATTCTGGCAATTATATTTATTACTGTGTCAAGTAATGGATATTGTATTGGCAAAGAGGTTGTATGAAGGGGCCGCTTTTCAGTTAAAAGCTCTCATAGAAGAGCATCACAGATTATTCGTCTCTTTAACTGCAGAATGTTTAACTCCTAAAATGTATATTTTTATACATTATCCTAGAGTTATTACAGAAAGTGGCCCTACGTCTCACTTATCTACTATTCGAAAAGAAGCAAAGCACAGAGACCTCACTCAGTCTGCGAGATCTAACATGTCTCGCGTAAATATTGCACATTCTCTGTGAAACATCAAATAGGCATATGCTATCACTTTATGTCCAAAGAAGGCATTATTCCGGACACACAAATCGGTTCAGGCCAAATTCTATTTGAATGAAATATTACCTTTCTTTGAAAACCTTCCAATTGATCTTAGAGGAACAGAGTGTATGAATTCAAACTGGAATATAAGGGAATTACCTATAAGATAGGAATGGTTGTAGCGACAGGTGCTCATGATTTGTGCCCAAATTTTGGAAAAATAAAACTAATTCTTAATTCTAGTTATTATGTGTGCCCTATTCTTGTTTGTAATGTCCTTCTTATTGGTTTGTACAAACATGTTTTAGGATATGAAGTAGAAGAGACTGATGACTGGTTGTGTATTAAGTTAAGTGATTTACTTGATTATAATCCCCTATATGCGCATACAATGGCTACTGGAAAAAAAATTGTTGTGCTTTATTACAATACTTAGAAACTGATTAAGAAAAATCAAATTAAATGTACACATTATGAAGTAGTTGTACAAAAATAAATTGTCTGAATAATTCACGCCATTGCTTTTTTCATTAAAAATTCAATAATCTGAGTATAGAGCAGAACAGCGATCACACGATTACTTTTTTCCTAAGGTGGAAAGGTGAAAAGCGAAAAATTTTGCCATTGAAAGTAATGTAAAAAGTTACGCGTGATCGCTGCCCTTAACTCACATTTGCACAAATAACTGCTGATTTGCTAGAATCTTTCATGAAACCTCTACTAATGATCAGTAATCATAGCATATTAAATGTTTTACAACAAATAAAACGGCATAGTGGTTTGACATGATCGCTTGCTACAAATGATTTGCTGAAGAAATGAAGACTGTTATATTTATGGCGGCAGTTGCTGCCACAGTAAATAAAAAGTAACAAACCAAATTTGTTCCTCACACTGCTATGTTTGTTGTCACTATAGTTACAAATCAAATTTGTTGCAGGTACTTCTCTTTTGTTATTTTAACAAAAGTATTTTTCTCAGTGCGGCCGTTGTATTATGTGTTAATATAACTTGTTTTTGTGAAATGTTTTACTTGGGTATAATTTTAATTTTTAAATCACAAGATGAGTACCAGTGAAATATTAGATTGGTGCAAATAAAATGGCCGTTTTTTGTATTTTAAACTTTCCGTCTTTGTATTTCATTTTTCTTTATTCAGATAGCGCTGTATGTATACCATTTGAAAAATATATGTCTTAAGTGTGAAATTGTATACATAACTTTACTTATTTACTACAGTATTAATTATTAAAGTTCGCATTAAAGGCAACATGAAAAATAAAGAAATTCGTTTAATTTATTTATATGAGTTAAAACTCGGTCATAGTGCGGCCGAAGCAACGCGAAACATTAATACTGTTTTTGGCGAAGGTTCTGCCAGTGAAAGGACGACGAGGCGTTGGTTCAAAAAGTTTTGGTCTGCAGACACAAATCTTGACACTTTACCTCGCGGGCATGCACCCACTGTCATTCACTGTCATTCGGCAACAACGCCGTTTTAATGAATACGATTGAAGCAAATCCGAGAACAACGGTTCGAGAAATTGCAGGAAGACTCAGTATCCATCATTCAACTGTCGTTCGACATTTAAAAACCATGGAAAAAGTAAAAAAGTTGGATAAATGGGTTCCCCATAAACTGACAGAAAAGGATAAGATGAAACGTTTAGAAATCTGCACTTCTTTGCTTTCTCGACAAAATAAGGAATATTGCACAGAATAGTGACGTGTGATGAAAAGTGGATGCTTTACAACAACCGTCGACGTTCTGCACAGTGGTTAGATGCGAATGAGCCTCCGAAACACATGCCAAAACCGAACCTTCATCTAAAGAAGATTATGGTGTCTGTGTGATGGTCAAGTAAAGGCATCGTACATTATTCGTTTTTTAAACAAGGTGAGGCTATAAATGCTGATAAATACTGCCAAGAAATTGACATCATGTATCAAAAACTGCGCGCTCAACAGCCGGCATTAGTCAATAGACACGGTGCGTTGTTGCTTCACAATAATGCTAGACTACACATTGCGAAAAAAACCGTAAAAAAACTAGAAGAATTGAAGTTCGAAATTCTTCCCCATCCTCCTTATTCTCCAGACATTTCACCAACAGATTACCATCTATTTAAGCATCTGGATGGGTTTTTAACTGGGAAAATTTTTCAAGAAGAAAGACTTATACAAAATGCATTCCACGAATTCATCGACTCTCGTTCTTCAGATTTCTTTAAGAATGGCATTGATGCACTTCTACCACGTTGGCAAAAGTGCATTGAAATAGATGGAGACTATTTCGATTAATAAAACAAGTTTTAAGTTTATCAAATAAAAGTCTAAAGTTTAAATTAAAAAATAGTCATTTTATTTGCATCAACCTGATATATAATATAATATAATATGACCTATATACATACATATACAGGGTAAACCATTTTATTCAATACACGCGAATATCTTGAAAAGGAGAAGTTTTTTCAAAAAAATGTTTCAGATAAAAGTTTATAGAGTTTTAAGTGGCGCATTAGACAGAAATGTCGGTGTGATCTTGGCTAGTGTTATTAAGGTCACGCAAAAATTACTTTGAAATTTTCAAACGGAAACCTTTATTTTCTATTGCATTTTCTTGTAGTCGATCTCGAAAGCTTTTCCAAACAATATAATAAAGTTATTTTTCATTAAGTACTTTTCGAGTTATAATGAAAGTTACAGTAAAATGAGAAAGAAAGAAACGCGTTGAGAGCGTGAGCGCTTTGCCTCATTCTCTTTCTCCCTCACTCTATATATATAGGTATAAAATCGTGATAATAATTTCAAAAATTGGTGACTAGATTAAATTAGTAACAATTTTATAACGCACAATATATTTTCCAAAAATGTTCAATAGCATATTTTATTAAATCGAGAAAAGTATTATCGATTATATACTACGTATTATACATTATGGGTTTATATTTATATGATGTATATGCATTTTATTCTTATATAATTTATCAGACATATAATCATTTCAAAGCACTTATCTATTTTCCTTTGTTAATATTAATATTAATATTAATAATAATTTTGAATACCTGCTTGCATCGTATGTCTGCTAAAATATTCTGGACTTCGCGCCTTAAGAAGTTTTACTGCTCTGACAAATAATCAGGCGTTATCTGATGGAAACGTCTGTTTTTATCCAAACATTCAGGTAAAGTAAACTCCAAGCTGATAATATCACACGTCTTATCTTACGGTTACAACTTGCGATGTGTTACCTTAAAATAAAAAGAATCTGTTATACATTTAGCCAATAAAAAATATAATATCAAAAAATGGCGCCAAGCGGAAATAAAAAATTATATTTACATCATTACTACAAAAAAAATTATTTTATATTTCCTACGAAATATACATATATACATACATACATATATATACAGGGTGTCCGACAATTGCTGAATCACCTCTCGGGTGCAGGTAGAGCGGGTTAAACCGAGTAGAAAAGTTCTCTATCGTTTTGCGAGTTTCGCAATAATTAATTTTAAATTAATTATATAAGATCGGCCAATTCGCGCGAGTCTAAGCGCGCGGCGAGAAGAGACCCGTGGCGGTACAGCCCACTGTTATTTGGTTACTAGGCGTACAAAGCGGTGAGAGGAACGCTTTAAACATAGCAACGTACAAGCGGCGCATAGCGCTGAAACTGTCCCGCATCCTTTTCGTTATCGAAAGAAATAAAATAATTAATGATAATTAATTAATAATTAATAATAAGAAATAATAATAAATAAATAATAAGTAATTAATAATGATAAATAAATAATAAATAAATAAAAATAAATCTTATAGCAAATATTATTATGCTATCATTTCCATACCACCTTGCGGTAGATAAAACGGCGCATTTTTTTTAAAGTGGTATCCCCAATAGGTCTAATCCACTTTCATAATTTAATGTAAAAATTGTTCGAAGTGCCTTCCTCGTTTTCGTAAACAGAGTTCGGCCCTTCGAGTAATATTGCGTGTCGCGCGATATGCCATTTCCGGAGTGATGGTATTGAAAGCTGGAAAAATTGCTTCTCATACTTCAGCTTCTGTACCATCACGTCTGTACTCGACTAAATGTTTAATATGTCCCCAAACGAAATAATCGAGTACATTAAGATCTGGCGATCGCGCCGGCCAAATGATTGAGCCACCTCGACCCATCCATCTGTCCGGATAATGCGCGTTTAAAAATTCACGTACCTGACGCGAGAAATGCGCAGGAGCTCCGTCGTGTTGAAAAATGAGCTCTGCTCGTACGCGGAGAGGAACATTCACGAGGAGCATCGGTAACTTATTTTGGAGAAAATTTGCGTAAATTTCTCCATTCAGACGCGGCGGGAGAAAAAAGGGGCCAATCTGAAAATCACCAAAAGAGAATGATTTGTTAAAGTTGCGAAAGAAAATTCCTTAACTTTTACTAACAATAAATAAATTTATTATACTTACGATTTGGTCCGCTATTATTCCTGCCCATACATTTATCGACCAGCGATATTGAAATGCGCACTGCCGAACGGCGTGCGGATTTTCTTCTTGCCATAACAAGAAGTTATGACTGTTAAATATGCCGTTCGGTGTGAAAGTGGCTTCGTCCGACCACAGGATGCGGTCGGGGAAAAAATCGTTCCGCCGACATCGTAATAGTATAACCAGTATTTTGAAAATATAGACATATTTCATTGTGTTTTACACTGCACACTTTTAAATTGAACAATATAAATTATATATAGAGAACTTATATGGATACATATTTGATATATATATAATTTAATATTATTCAATGTTATTTTACAAATGTCATTGTAGTGAATGAATAATTTATTTTTTGTATATAGAATAAATATGTTGAGATTTTAATGTAGAGATATGATTCAATTAAATATTGTGTAAGGTACAGTGAAAGGAAAACTGTACTAATTGAACACATTATAAAACCATTCCTATTCGTAAAAATAGGACTACTATTTATAAAATTTTTACATATTATGACTGTATGTTTTACATTGAACATTTCAAAATTATAGAATAATTTACACAATATTTAATTTAACCATATCTGTACATTAAAATCTCTACATATTTATTTTATATACAAGAAATGCATGACTCATTGACATTTATACAATGACATTTGTAAAATAACATTGACTAACACATTAAAAAACTTTAAAACGAGTTTATAGAATTTTTATAGGAATTTATGGGGGTTTATAGGATAGTAAGATACAACAATTTTTCAGAAATGGAATTGTTTTATTTTAACAAAATAAAATTACCATTATACTTACATACACATATACATATAAAAAATATTTTTACAATACATTTCTTTCATACAAATAAAAGTAGTCCAATTAATAAAGTTATACATATAATAAATAAAATAAAATATATGGCACATGTATCGCACATTTGAACAAAAAATACAAAACTATATAATGCTTATCGTCTCAGTTTTTTTCTTCAAAACATTGCATGTTTTCATAAAAATATTAATTACACGTCAAATCTCTTTTTAATAGCATCACATTTTGCGTTGTGTCTAATATATCTTCTGTTTGCTGCGAATAAACTAAAATAATACAGAAATAGCGCAAAAAATAATTATATTACAATGAACCAATATTGTAATTAATGATAATTGACCAAAATTTACAACACAAAATGTGATGTAAAATGACGAAATTACGAATACAAAAGTATTAAATTACCAATAATACGATCCATATGGATTGTACGCCGAAGGCTGGTGGTATGGTGAACCGTACGATGGTGGGCCCGGCGGTGGATACCGTGGTGGGCACGGAGGAAGACATGGCGGAGCAAACGCAATACCGTACGCTGGAACGTGTGCAAAGTATGTCGTAACATACGGCGGAGCGCACGAAATATGCCATTGAGGTGGTAGTGGTGCTGCTGGTGGTGTTCTGCCTTGCTGTGTCCTTTT